AGGGACACCAGAGGAAGGCAGAGAAACAGCATTTGCTGAACAAACGTAGTCTCATACTTGGGTGTCTGTGAGCATTTTGTTTTACCGTTGCCTCTGCTAGATGACAAAGGCCATGTGGGCTGTACGTGCATTTGTCTGTAGGTCCTTTTGGGACTGCAAGCCTAGTGTGTGTGTTTCTGATAAATTTTGTTCTTGCTCAACTGCAGCTCTGATGATGCCAGTCTCTTGTTTCACCCTTGGCCTGCCCTTTCATCCTTGTAGCACAGCTGATAAGGAGATCCTAATTGAAACTCTTCTGGCATACTTCTGACACAGAAGTAGTTCAGGTGCTTTGCAGGGGAAGTTATTTTAATCTCAGTCTATATGCAGGATGCGCCGCAGTAGTGTGGTCATTGGACTCTCTCTGTTCATGAAACCTCCCGAGTTTGCTGGAGAGGAGGGAGGAACGCTGGTGCTGTGAATGGAAAGATGCCTGTAGTAAATTTGCTTGCCTTGTTTGCTCTTTGCAGACATACTGTGATTGTGGACCATGGGTTGAAATCCCTGTTGTGTGACGTTGCAGTAGTTAAATCTTAGTTTGGCAGTTGTTTTCCATGGATGTTCGTGCCTGCAGTTCCCTTAGTGCTGGTAAAGATAGCACACTCAGGAGAAGCTGTCATGAGAGGACCCCCAGCTCCTCCTCGCTGGCCAGATACTCTTATTGTCTGCCCAAATGCAAAATGCTTGTTCTGAGTGAATATAGGACCTTTGTCCAGGTGTAAATTACCAGGAAAATTTTCTGTTTCTGATGTTGCACTCGCAAGAAAGACTTTCTTCTTTCAGATTTAAGTATATCTGGAGAGAGAATGTGTTTTTCACATCCACTTCAGAAACCTGCATGAAGCAAAAACTACTTCAGATTTTGCCTGTGTTTGGACGGAACCCAGAAGTTGGGCAAAAGCCGTTGGTGAATGAAGGGAGAACATGTGATGTCAGTGGAAATTTTTTTTTATTTTTGGGGTGACTTGGGGTTGGGTGTTTTGAGTTGGCATGGGTTTTTTGTTTGTTTGTTTTTTTTAGACATTACTTTTATTGTTCCCAGAAATCTGTTTATGATATTCTTCAATGTCTTCAGTTTGCAGCTGCTTATTCTCTAACTCACTTGTATTTTCCAGCTAAGATGGACTGAGTTTCCTCGTGAAAAGGGTGTGAAAAGTATGTTGCTGCTGCTTTTGCCTGAACACACCAAAAGCTCCCTGTGCAGGGTATTTATTTCCTGAAACAGCTTTTCTGCAGAGCAAGAGCAGTTTAATTTAGCTAAATTGCTCGCTAAAGACTCTACCTGATAATTTTACAGCGTATTTCAGCACGTTGTCTTAGATTTATCAGGAGAAGAGAAGCTGTTTGATGGATAGAGGCTTTGCCCTGGTTGCATTTTAAGTAGACATCTCCCTGGAGATGAGGTGTAAGCGTCAGGTTACCGATTAGCATTTGGTGTGGGGTCCCAGAGCAGAGGAAGAGATGTCTCAGTTCAGTCTCCAAAAAAGAGAAACTAAAATCATTCCTGAGCTCTGACAGCATTACTTGGACAATGTCGTCTTCAGCGTTTTCTGTTCCTGGTTCCAGCTCACGGCTAGGTTATGCTAAGTGCTTTTGCAACCCAGACACCTGAAGAGCCTGTGTTTTGATGTGCTCTGGCTGTGCCTGGAAGAGTTCAGGCCTGATTCTGGTGCCTTTCTAAGCAAGTGTTTTTTTCTGTAGGTCTGAAATCCTGTCGTATACAAAAGTCGTCCAGGAGAGCTCTGTTTGGCTGCAGCTGGATCTGGGCCCCAGGCGGGACAGCTTGCTGGAAAGCCCCATCCTGCCTGGTTGCTCACCCGTGTTACCGTTCTCAGTGGGAAGGTGGTGATGGCAGTCACCTCTCAAGTGTGGGGCGAGAGGAAACTGCAAGGTTGTGTTAACTCTGAGCAACCAGCCAAACGAGACAAAAAGTTTTAGCGAAAAGACACACTTTTCTCATTGAAGAGAACTAAATTATATCCTGATTGCTCAGCAACTAAACATCGGCTACCGTTCAGTCATCTCCCCTCCTCTTTCACAAACCCGTTCCAGCGATGGAAGTAGACGATAGGTGCTGATGTGGGGGTGGTTGTGGAAAGCTGGTTTTAATTTGAGAGCAGAGAGCTGTGATCAGTTGTGATTAGTCCAAGCAAAATGTTGTGTGGTTTTTTCCAAAGTTGTGGGGTTTGCATGTGTATTTAGCTGACCTTATAGGATTTCACAGTGGATTGCTCTGCAGGCCCTGGCTCTAGAGTACGTCTACTGGGCCCCTCTCAAAGACCACAACCATAGACAGACTTTCTGTGTTGCTTGCTACTGCTTGTGCACTCGGGACCTCTGCCTCCTCCTCCTCTATTTGCTGCTCTCCATGGGGCAGAGGTGGGTCAGTCTAAGGCTTTGGTACTCACCGATGTTCTTCTAAAGCCCCTGTTTTGTACTGTTTCCTCTGCCAGTCCTTTGCTGTTTCTGCTTTCCTTAATACTTTAGGAAACTGGGCTTGGGGTATGGAAATGTCACTGGAAGACTTGCTGTCTGTCTTCACCTCTTCATTGTCAGGTTTGCCATGGGAAGTATTAAAATCTGTTGAACCTTTTGACATAGGCTTGTGGCAGCCAGAGCTGGTTGGCAGTGTCTTAGTAATATATTTCCCCCCCCCCGCCCTTGGAAAATGGCAGTTACTTTAGCTTGTCAAGAAAAGTGCATCGATTTTGATGGTAGATGTTTCTGAAGTCCAGAATATGGTTCCTGGGTGAGAGGAGACAGGCAGTAGGCAGGCAGTAGTGTGATGGAGGCAGGTTTTGGACGAATAGGAGGATAGCCTATTCCCTGTGAGTACCCTAGCAATCATGCCAAAAACTTATCTGGGTGGGGGGGGTGGAGGTGTCTCCTTTTTCCCTGTGCTGAAAAACTGTTCCTGATAGTCTTGGCTTTAGCCTAGGGCTACAAAAGCTGTTGAGATCTTGAAGATTTTGGTGCATGATTAAACTATTTCCATCCCAGTTCTGTCCATGCACTCGTATTTCTTGTAGAAATGCTTAAAAAAGAGGTCTTCAGGCTCTCTATTTAATAGTTTCAACTAGCTGACAGTTTTCAAACCCTCTTAGCACTAGTGTGGAGCAAGTTCAGTGTGTCAGCTCCTAAAATTACCAAATGGGAGACTAATAATTTCATACCTCTTGGAAAAACTGATCTCTGCTTTCAGCTGCTGGCAGTTCCCGATACCAAGAACTGGTTGCTCACTGGTGTGCAACGTCGTTCCTGCTCAAGACTGTCTGCTGGAAAGCAAAGGAAGTTGTGTTGCCTGAAGGGTTTACATGCATTTTATTTCTTGATTGCAATGATAGTTGAGGGCCTCAGTGTTTCTGCCCATAAAATGTTAATCAGCTACATCATTAGAAGTATACCTTTATTGATACGTACATGCATGTATATACACATGAGTGTGTATGTGGTAATTATTCTGAGGCAATAAAGTATATTTTAAGAAAAATTGCTTAACTAGCTGCTGTGTGATCCTTTGTGGGTTTTTTTTTGCTGTTGTTCGGGTTTTGTGTTGGTTTATTTTTTGTGTGTGTTGTTGGTTTGGGTTTTTTTGTAGCTTACTCTTCCCAGTTAGAATACTTAGGAGAAAATAGTAATAAAGTGTTGGGGCAATTGTTCGAAACTCAGTCTGGGCTCATAGAGAATGATGCTGCAGATAAGAAATTTCATAATGTTTTATAACTTAGAAAGATTTGCTTTCCAGGATGTTGAGAGGTATGAACCCTTTTAGCTGGACAAGGTAGAATGTCTGCTCCAGTCTGTACGTGAGTTCCTGTGTAATTTTATCAGTCTCATTACACATAGTCCCTCAAAATATGTGAAAATCTAACTGAACAAAATCTTGCTGGTAGTGATTTAAATGGGAAGTGCAGTCAGGCTACTTTTTTGGAGACAAACGTGATAAGCATTTCTAGAGATCCTGAAATCTGTTAAATCAGCAGAAAAAAGCTCTTGTTACAGAGTGTTTTAAAATGTAATCAGTGGGGAGTTTCTATTCCCCTTTTCTAAGCTGCATATCATCAGCTGACAGTTTGGTTACTTCTGCTTCTCTCCAACAATTGAGGCTACATGAAATGTTTAAAGTTAGTTTTGTTTAAAGAGTAAATGACCAGGTTTTCAAATACACCAAGCACACAGATCGTTGTGAAAATTGCTTCATAAAATTCCTGCTTTATTCAGGTCTGTCTTTCTCTCTTTTTTTTTTCCTTTTTTTTTTTTTCTTTTATACAGGCGATACGGATTATGGTTTCGATTGCGGAAGTTAATAATCTGGTTGCTGGGAGTGTACATAGCCATTCCATTTCTAGTAAAACTTTGCCCTGCTATTCAGGCAAAGCTGGTCTTCCTAAACTTTGGTAAGTGACTCGGTCTGTTGGGATGTGTGAAGGGTGAAGGGGAGGAGTGTCTTTATTTCTCATTTGTCCGCCTTCACTTTTGCCCTGCATGTGTACAGCTTGTGAAGGCTATGAACTTTCACAGGTTGTAAGTTCTCCAAATTATGGTTTGGAAAGCATTCTCTGTGGCTCTGGTGGTCTTTGTAGTATGTCTTTATATAAATACAGTGGCCAAACTGAAGCCAACTTTCAGCCGAAAGGGTCGTCTTCAAGGAAACTGCAATATGTCGAATGCATTTTTCTGAAGGGTTCAACAAAGTTGCATGAATAGACATTAGGCAAGTGAAATTAAATCCAGTGAATTGTTTTTCAGGCAGTGACTCTTCACCTGAAAGCATTTTAGGAGAATGTTCTGGCTGGGAAAGAAGAGGCCTGTTCATGCAGTCAGATTGAATGCTTTCCTTGTGTCTGTTTAGCCTTTGCATTTGGTCGAACTGGCGGTACAGTGGGTCTGGCAAGCTGGCTCAGCTCCCAGGTTGCCCAGGGAGGCCTGAGCATCCACAGGATGGAAAATGATGGAGCATCACTATGAGAGATACTTCTCTGCGATCTAAATTTGTCTTTAAACCTCACTTGTGTTTTGTGATGAAGTTTTGAAAAATATCTTCCTTTGATTGTAGAAGCTAGAAGGACCAACTACAGATATGTTGCTTTTATATAACTTCCGTCATTTTGATTGCCTGCTCTGTATATTCTAACACCTTGGATCCATGGTCACTGTGAAGTGTGCACGTGTGCGGGCCAGCTCTTTGTGCCTTGATTGTCAGAACTGACAGCTGGGTAACGTAAATAATGCAGGTTACTTCCATTTTCATCACCTTGCTTTTTCAGTGATGATTTTAATTTGCCCTTGCAGAGCTTTGTTAGGTGTCCCTGAAGTTCCTAACCTCTATTCATTCCCAAGTGACCAAAATAATTGTTCTGTAAACATTCTTGCACTAATATCACTGCGGTGTTGTTCCTGCTGCTTTATATAATGGCAGTCAGATTTTATTTGTGACAGTACTCCCATTAAAAACTATTTGCCTTAATACAAAGTGCATTCTAACACACTTATTAGAAGTACATTGGCATGTTTGAGTAATTCTTTTCCACTGGAGAGTGACATTTCTCCTTCAGAGGAGTGGTGTAGGGTTTGCCCTGTCATATTGTTTTTTTAACCTTCTGAGTATAAATCACTACTCTTCAGCCATTGTTTTCTCCTTCTTTTGTGTAGTTTGGGATTTGCTTCCAAAACAGTAGCGCAGAGCTTCAGGAGAAAGTGCTTCCATTTGTTTCTCGAGATAGCTAAAGATGGATCGATAGCCGTGCTTCCACTGTTAGCAACCGAACCAATGTCTGGATTTGTTCTTGTGGACAGACTTTTATTCCAGGTTACAAGATACATGGGTACATGGGTAGAGGTCTCAAGTTGTATTTACTGGAAGTCTTCAGAAAACTGAGATTTCTAGAAACATAAATACAAACCAGATCAGATTTAGTGTATCAGTATGACTAACAAATCATGTGATTTTTGTCATGTGATGTGTTGTGAGTGATACCAAATAGCTCTGAAACATGTCACTAAAAAAAACCTTGATGTGCTAAATCTCCATGTGATGTATGCCTATAAGATGATGATGACGATCTCTTTGTCTGTGTGTGTAGAATAGATGGACCATCCCAGTGATAAATGCCATACTTAAAAATTGCCTGTACTTCTATATTTTTCTCTTGCTTTGAGGTAGGTGCTTACCTGGCCCCCATCACTAACGTTGGTATGTTCCTGTTCGTATCTTTGTAATACAAAATCTGGCAAGAAAGTCGTAACAGATTTGGCGAATGGGAAAATCAAGGCACAGAGAAGTTGAGTAATTTTCCCAGAACGCTGCTAGAAGTGACTTGTGCGGCTGTCCAGACCTCAACCACAGAACTTACCGTCCTCTTGGAGGATCTACCACCCTTGTGAGAGCGTCACCGAGCTCTGCAGTGACAGCGCAGTGACCCAACGGGTCTCTGGTGGCGTGCATGCTTTGTCTGGGACTCTTCCGCGTGCTTTTGCATAAGAGCAAACAGACTTGCACAGGTATAGATCTGCAGTCTAAGGGGCCAGATTTGTCAGGTTAACATCGGCTGTTGTCTGCCTTGGTTTTTGTGTTTGTGGAATGTTCAGTGATTTTGGGGGGGTAAGTGAAGTGAGATTTGACTGTCATATTATCAATGCTTCTTTGTGTGTCAATAGCAGGAAAACTTTGGTATGTTAATTGTTATGCCACTAAATTCCAAGGAGACAGACTTCCTGGTTCTGCTGGAGTGGAGCTCAAGTTTATGGGAAAAGCCTGAATCATTGGGAGAAGAGAGTCCTTAAAACTGTCACTAGATCTCTATAGCGTCTCTCTTGGTATTAGGTATGTCAGAGGCTGTCTAGAGAGGCCATACAGCATTGGTGATGGAAAAGGAAGCATTTAGACTAAGCACATCCCCTCATTTAGCACATTGTAGAGTGTCTATAAGATGTAGCTTGTGAACCAAGCAAGGGAAAACAAAATGCTGAAAATGTTTGATGTTTGACTTTCCTGATGTTGCTCATGTTCAGATCATTGAATATAACAAGCAACCAACAACTGTGTGTTATATAAGTTGGGGAACATAAAACATTTGGAAGAGTGAATTGAGGTGTAATGATTTTGTTTTCGGGGATCTCTTCCTGAAGAGAGAAAGTTTCCAGCCTAACATGATCTCTTTTAAATGCTGCAGTGTCTGGAAGATATGGCAATTATTTGACAGGCTTTGGAGTGTGAGCTAACGAACTGCATATCCTCCTCAAAGGCTCAGGAGGACAGTGTTTAACACAATTTATCTTAAAAGAGCAATGTGGTGTCTGCTACTATAATGCAGTATCTCCTTTAGATTGTTGTATTATAGAGACTGAAACCACGTCGTCCTGAAACATGTTACAGCTCTGGGATGCACCCTTTATCTCAGGGGGTTTGTCCCATCAGTAACTTCCATTACAGCTACAACGCAAACAGTAAAAGGTTTGCCAAATCAGCTAACTCACCCCATTGACGCAGCAGGAGTGACTATCTTGTGTCTGGTGGATTTACAAAGCAGACTGGGCAGAGATGGTTAGATGTGTGTCATAGGAAGCTTTGTCTGCCTCCCCCACCTCTTAATTTTAGCTTGCTCCCTGTTTTTTTGATGGTTGCTTGTGTCTTCTTGCCTTGCTCTCTTTGATGTTCATATTTTAGTCACAACTGTAGCCAGTTCATCCTTTCACACAAAAAGAATAAGGTCTTCCCAGCACAGTGGACCAGTTTGTACAACTTTCCAGTGCCTTGGTAAAGCAGTTTGATAAGAAAACAAAGATACAAATTAAAAAGGTTTCATATTCTTTTTTTTTTTTGTATTTCAGTGAGGGTCCCGTATTTCATTGACTTGAAAAGACCACAGGATCAAGGTTTAAACCACACCTGTAATTATTACCTGCAGCCAGAGGAGGATGTAACCATCGGAGTCTGGTAAGGAAGCCTGTTCTGTGCAGTATGTGCCGTGCACCTTTATCCTTCTTTTTGTTCTCAGTGTTGCCTATCCAGTATTTTTGCTGTGCATGTGACAACCGTTGCCTGCCCTGATTTGTGGATGTTTGTGTTTTCCTCTGCCAAGTGACCGAGTTCATGTTGAAAAGTATGCAAATCTCTGGAGCTCATCTTAACTCAGATCAGTAATGCATGAAACACAATTGGACAACCTGTGCATTCAGAGAAACTTCATAATTTGGACTCGTAAAGGTTACGGGTCTGCATTGCTACAAAGATCATGCCTCCATATCAGATGAGACCCAAAGAGTTAGAAGTTTTGTCATTCAACTGCTGTTCATATTTTGTTTTGCAAAATAAATGTGGGGGAAGATAGGAAAACAGGATCAAAGTGTTCAGAGTAGGAGGAAGAATATTCTGTGTATAAAACATATGTAAGGTTTGGAGAGTGGGTGGGAATGGGACATGCAGTTTACTCTCTTAACAAAACAAGCGACAGTGTCAGAGCTCATGTGTCATTCCTTCCTCACGAAGAAGATTTTCTGGTCCCAGGCAAGGGCAATTCATTTTAGCTTCTTGTTACCCAGGATCAGCTCAGATGACTGGTTCTCTGTCTGAAAAGGTCTGCTTTCAGTGCTTCTGTCATTATTACACCAGCTCAAACCAGCTTCTGCATCTGTTTCTCATGATCACTTTCTATTGTGTCTCAACACCAGAAGTTTCAAAGCCACAGAAAAGTTCCTGTGAGCTTTAAAGAAAAAGAAGTGCCTGCAGTTTGAATGTATATGCAAGAGCAGCAAACACCTGCAAAAAAGGCTAGACACAATGTCAGGTGTGGGGGGAAGGGGACTGTTCCTTAATACAGCCAGTGATGTTAGATCTGTAAGCTGTAGGACTTGGAGTTTTCAGTTACGTGTGTGTAACTTGTATGTGTCCACTAATGCAGCAGAGGTTTTTTTCTTCACTTGAGAATATATGACCTTTTGAACAGGACAGTGATATCCTGCTACATAAAGATGATTCCTTCCCTTTAAGTGAATTTTGGTAAAGAACATGTTTAGAAGCTGGCAGTTCAGTCTTTCCAGGGTAGGCTGATAAATAATGGTTTGTATCTACACTTGGACAATTAAAATTCTACTTGCTAAGCTGTTGAATAAGTTTAGATTGCAATCTGGAGATTTTTTATTTTGTTCCCCTTACAAGTGTGTCTTTACTAAAACAGAACTTCCAGCGTGTGGTGGCAATTCAGAGTCCATGTCATTTGTCTTGATACTTATGAGATAGGCTTTCATGAAAGTGTGGAGCCCTGCTTTAATGCCGGTGTAAGGTCTTGTGTTTGGTATACTTCTGAAACAAAATCCTCAGCCTGCTTTGTTCATAAGCTTGCAAAAGTCTTGAGGCAGAGCAGTTGGAGAAGTTGAGTCCTACAGTTATTGGGGCTTTTTTCCTTCTCAAGAACTCGGTGTCTGCTGGCTGCATGCCTGCAAGTAGACTTTTTACGTTGTTTCCCCCTGTGTCCGTTTGTCCTCTGAGCCATCTGGGAGGAAGGTGTGGTAGATAGAGTTTGTCTTTCTTCCGAGGAGAAAGGCATGTGAGTACTTAAGTTACTTCTGACAGCTGTAAGCTAGCCCCCTTCTCAACAATTTGAGATAGTTGTGGGCACGTACTCGCTTTCAGCGTTTGTCTTCCAGAGTAATTATCCAATATAAATGCCTACCTTCTCTTTGGTCTGTCATTCCTCTCTTTCCATTCTGCCAGCATTGAATTCTAACAGACTGCCCAGCTATATTATCTACAGAAGAACAGCTGTGAGTTAAAAATTCCTGGCTGTTCTAGATTGTAGCTTTTCCAGCTACAATGTTATACCTTCAAGAACCTGGTGTCTCAAAATAAAATACATGATCTTCTCATTAGACCCTGAGCCCCTCTTTTTCCTCAGATTGACTATGGAGTCAGATATGCCTCTTGCTCACCGAACATTCTTTCCAAAACCAGCTGACTTTGATTACTCTGAGTATCTGCTGACCTAGCTGTGAATCTTGTTTATGGTGTGTAAGTATGTCAGTTGAGGTAATTAAGTGCCATAAAAGCTGAGGAATTGAGATTCTTTCTCCAGAACAGTAGCAAGTTCAGTAATTGTGCTTTGGGTTTGCCTGTGAAGTTTGATGCCTTGCACAGCCCTGAGTTTTGAAGGCAACGGTGAAGGAGGTGAAAATGTAGAAATAATCCTAGCCACTGCCTTTTAAATTTGGCCATTTGTCGGCTAATCATGACAGTTATATGAGGAGTGTGTGTGAGATGTGTAATCCTGAGTTAATGAGTTGGTCAGAAAAACTCAAAACTTGAGTGGCCGACACTGAGTAGCAACAGGACAATGTACTTCTTCCTTCTGTATACAGGCACACGGTCCCTGCAGCCTTATGGAAGAATGCCCGAGGGAAGGATCAGTTGTGGTTTGAAGATGCTTTGGGTTCCAGCCATCCTGTAATCCTTTACTTGCACGGCAATGCGGGAACAAGGTGAGGCACAAGTCAGTGATGGCTTTGTTTCGTGCTGTGTTTTCCTGGCTTGCCACAGCTTCAACACATTGATAAGAAAGATGGGGACAAACTTTTTAGTAGGGCGTGTAGTGATAGGACCAAGGGGGAACGGCTTTAAACTAAAAGAGCATAGATTTAGACTAGCTATAAGGAAGAAATTTTTTGCGCTGAGGGTGGTGAAACACTGGCACAGGTTGCCCAGAGAGGTGGTGGATGCCCCATCCTGGGAAACATTCAAGGTCAGGTTGGAGGGCGCCCTGAGCAACCTGATCTAGTTGAAGATGTCCCTGCTCATTGGGGGGGGTGGGGGTGTGTGGACTAAGTGACCTTTAAAGGTCCCTTCCAACCCTAACTATTCTGTGATTCTGTGATTAAAACAAAAATAAAATCTAAAAGCAGTTTGGTGCTTCTCCTTTCTTTTAAAAGGAAAGCATGTTTTAAGAAATGATGCCACTCCATTTATTGAATGCAGGAATAGATTTATTGCGGTTATCAGAGATATCTGATATTGTAGTTTACCCTTTACTAGAAGCCAGGAGGCTGTGACACTTACTAGATCAGGTAGGGAGAAGTACTTCTTTTCAGTGTAGTGGTCTCTGAATCAAGACATGGGATAGTATTAGTGCTTCTGTATATGTGATTTACATGCATTAAATAAACTTTCCAGTTCCTTTCATGAGCTTATTTTAGTAGTTAACACATTCTGAGGAAGGAAAATCAGAAGGAAAGAGGAAGATAACGTGCTGGCCTTATTTCATCATTGCATATGTACAGGATATTTGTCTGGAACAGGAGCATTTCTAAAATTTGTGATTTTATAGTTGACCATGTGTATCAGCTAAAGAAGTAGGTTGGTTCTCTATACTTTGTTGCTGGATGCTAAAAGCCACTAGCGCTGTGTGAAACTTCCTGGATGTTTCTCAGAATCATGTTCTTACTGCCACATGTCTGCATGATACAGTGCTTTAGTTCATTTGTTAGAACATGGTCTTTTTCCTTACTAATATGCATCTTACAAAGAGTATCAGCCCCTTTCTGAGTTTTGAGTGCCAGTGCATGATCTTTTGAAGCTGATGTCTGCTCGTAGATACTCTGTAAAAGCAGAAACATTGCAGAAATACAAGTTCCATGATGTAAAGCAAAGAAACTCTTTTAGCTGTGCTGGTAGTGCAGGTTCGCTAGCCTTTACATCACAGGAACGTTGCCCTTTTTCACCGAAATCCTTGTCTTAGCGGTGTTCTTTTTTGGTACAAGGGCATGGTGTGGAAGATGCATGCTGGGAGTCAGGAAATGCACGAGCAGATGGGTTTTTGGAAACTGACCTTGTCTTTTTGTGCTGATGTATTAGAAGGTTTAATCAAATTGTTGCATTATTTTTCAAATACTGCTTTGCTTGTTTTCTTGCCTTTATTGGGCATAGCAAATGATACTAATGGAAGCTATTGTGCAGCTTAATGGTGGTTATTTGCGACCAGTATCTCTGTTATGTGCATATTGATTAGATTTACTTCTTGGCTCCCCCAAGTGCTACTGAGGTAAAGTACTGAGCTATGGATCGATTACTTGTTTCACATTTTGCTTTACTCTCTGTATTAGAGAAGCTGGAGGTGGTATTGGCTTTGCCATTTCAGCTTTAATATATATATTGCTGTATGTTTTGACACTTCATATTCAGTCTCTTGTCAAAGGGCTGCTTTATTGATGCAGGCTGCATTAACCATAAGTAAAAGGCACTGCCTTGGCTTTCTGGTTTGCCTGAGTGGTCTGGAGCTGAGGCAAATATGTGAAGTTTACTTGCTCCCTTAGGAAAAATTCCTCTGTTGCACTTTGAGGAATGCGTGAAAAGGCACCAAGGTGTGCACGTCAAGGGTGACTTTTCAAGCAAGAGTATCTTCTTTCAGACTTGTATGATTCAAAATGACTTACAAGCAACCCCTTGTGTTTTGCCCTGAGTGTTTTTGGCTGCATTAGGTATTCTGTAGTACAGTTGGAGCTGACAGCTTTTGGCTGGCAAGTGCATGTGTTCTTAGAGAGAGGTCTGGAAAGTGGCATTTTGGTTTAGAGGCTGCACTGACCAAACCAGTCACAGTGTGAATGTTTTAGAGTTTTCATATGAGTGCAGTAGTAAATCTACTCTTACATCAATACTAAAGTTTGAGTGTGGATTAGCCGTGTCATGTTGTGGATATAATTTAAAGCACGTAATGGCCCATTCACTCTCCTTTCCATTTTATTGTTTAGATTTCAATTTATGAAAAAAAATTAAAGCAGATTCTTCCCCTGGACTTATTTACAGTGTTCAACTCTGGTTTTCCCTGCTCAGTCTTTTGCACATGTCCTTTCTGTCCCTGTGCTTGGAGCCAGGTGAGAAAATCCAAGGGCCAGCTGCTTGGGTTAACGTGGTGAGTTCTGCTGAGAGCGTCACACCTTGGAGAGCAGGGGTTATTGCCTGGGGCAGCACTGGTGGCAGGAGCGCAGGGTCTGTAAAGCCAGCAGGGACAGGCTGTTTTGGATGTATTACAGGCTTTGGAAAAGGCAGATAGGAGGGTGGGTTGAAAAGTTCATCTTTACCTGCTGTGAGAAGAGATTTATAGGGAGAAGTTGACTTCAAAACTGTCCTGCATAGCTCAGCAAAGCCTTGCTGTCTCCTTGAAGCCTGTGACAAAGCAGTTATGGTGTTTCTTATGTTTGGCATGTTTGTGTTAAACTGGAAGTCTGAGGCAATTGGGAAAGTCTGTTTCTGGAAGCTTAAATGTTCACGTTTGTTTTTTTGTTTGTTTGTTTGGTGGTGTTTTTTTTCCTCTTCTCTTCATGAATCACTTTCGCCAGAGGAGGGGATCACCGTGTGGAGCTTTACAAGGTAAGTGGCCGCACGTGTTGTCCAAGCAGTTGTATTAACACATCAGATGTACACAGACTTGAGAAGACTGCTCATTACAGCCCCCTACCAACAGGCAAGATAGCTTAGGGCTCTTAGTCTCCTCTAGATGTGAAGCGTGTATGGGAAAAGGGGTCTGTAAGCCATGAGCACACCTCCCCATATTAAAAGATATTTGAAAGGTCTTTTACTTGCTGTTGTTAACTGTAAGCTCCAACTGAGCTAACCAGGTTCTTGCCAGGAATACTTCCACAACACAGTTTATAGGAAAAATTAAAAGTTTTATTTATCACAGCCGTAATTTCATTGATTATACTAGTATACTGATTTAAGGTACCATTTAAGAGTACTCTTTCATATGTTACCAGTCTCTATATAGTCACCATCATAGAACAGAATAGAATATTTTCAATTGGAAGGGACCTACAGTGATCGTCTAGCCCAACTGCCTGACCGCTTGAGGGCTGACCAAAAGTTAAAGCATATTACCAAGGGCATTGTCCAAATGCCTCTTAAACACTGACAGGCTTGGGGCATTGACCACCTCTCTAGGAAGCCTGTTCTAGTGTTTGACTACTCTCTCGGTAAAGAAATGCTTCCTAATGTCCAGTCTAAACCTTCCCTGGTGCAGCTTTGAACCATTCCCACACATCCTATCACTGGATAGCAGGGAGAAGAGATCAGCACCTCCCTCTCCATTTCCCCTCCTCAGGAAGCTGGAGAGAGCAATGAGGTCGCCCCTCAGCCTCCTTCCCTCCAAACTAGACAAACCTAAAGTCTTTGGTCGCTCCACATAGGACATTCCTTCCAGCCCTTTCACTGGCTTTGTTGCCCTCCTCTGGATGCATTTGAGTACCTTCACATCCTTCTTAAAGTGTGTGGCCCAGAACTGCACACAGTATGCAAGGTGAGGCCACACCAATGCTGAACGCAGCGGGATAATCACCTCTTTTGACCGGCTGGTTATGCCGTGTTTGATGCACGCAGGATGCGGTTTGCCCTAGTAGCTGCCAGGGCACACTGCTGACTCATATTGAGCCTGCTGTCAACCAGCACCCCCAGATCCCTTTCTGCAGGGCTGCTCTCCAGCCACTCCTCTCCCA